TGGAAGTAATGCCATCTGGGTTTATTTATGCTATATTTATGTTTCTGATCCGTACTTTGACTTTGACTTTATTTTTCTAAAGATCAGCTCCTAGATATTAGATTGCCATATGTATCAAAAGACAGGGCCCAGTAATCTAAAAATAGGTAATAGGGGACATCCATTTAATTATTTTTATTAAATAACTAGTAATATTATATATATTCAAAAGAGATGTTAAAATCTTTAATTGCTATTTTTTCATCTATGTTTTTGAATGTGTTTTCTACTCCTTGACATTTTCAAACTGTTTTCTCTTCCCCTTTTTAAATGTTTTTTAGTATATTCTTAGTGGGAGAGGTTAGCCTTACATTCTTTACAAAAGGGGGATTGATGTAATGATCAGGAATTCGTCTTACTCTAAGGATCAGCAGAAAAACGGATACAAGCTCTGTGAATGTTGTTCAAAGTGTTGTAAAGGCGTTTGTTACCCACTGAAAGAAGGGGATATTGTTTTATTACATTATAATTACTCTATTTTTCCCTTTTTCTCTGTTGTTGGTTGTTTTTTATTTTGTTTTATTTTTGTAACCTGTGATGCTACTGCAATTGTTCCAACCTGCAACAACCACCTTGTGTTATAGGCATTTAAAACCTTCTTGCCTGTTCTTCCTATGTGCTGTGGTTGATTCTTGGTTTTCACTGAGAAATATGTGACGAATGCACATGCTGTCTTTGATGATCTGATTTCCAAATTATTGGGCTTTGAAATTTAGAGTTGAACTAGATAATGTTCTTTGTCATGTGTAATGTTATGGTAACAGTTAATGGAAAGTCAGTTATTATTGGTGTTCCAAGTCTCAGGACTTTAATTCAATTAAATGTGTTGACAATTGTATGTAGAAGTGCTGCACTTTTTTAGCTAGAGAGCTATAATGAAATCAGAAGAGGAAAAAGTAAGTTTAGAAGTGTCATGCTCAAGCAATTAAACATATCCTGATGAGTCTCTTAGCATTAAGGAAGACTAAAAAAATATTTAAATGTTTTTTTTATATATGTATTTACTAAAATATTTTTCAAATAGCACACATTTTCAATTGGTTTCAAATTATTACATCATAGATCATATAAATGATTATTCAAGGCCTATTCAAGGTCCCTCTACAGTTCTTCATTTTTTAACTAAGTCCTCAAAGTTAATACCATGTGATATTTAGAAAATTCTCTTTAAACATCTGACTTAATGTTGACATTGATGGATATATAATTCTATTGCTTAACTCTTTTGTTGAATGTTACAAATCAGTTTTCTTTGAGTTAGATATTTATTGTTCCTAAAAATAATTAAATACTCTTTTGGTATATCATTATTGTAGACTATATATGGATGGCATAACAAGGTACATGCAATTAGTCACAAAAAAGGTTAAGTCTGATGTAGACTTTTTTTCCCCACACAGAAAATAATACTGCTATAATCAACAAGCAATATTAATCTGATTTTATAGACTCTGTACATGCTCAACTCAATTTGCATAAATCCAATTTATTTTTCTCCATAATCAACCTTTCCCTCACAAGGCTAGCATAAAGCTCAGACTTGATTGAAGCCATTCATTTGATTATTGATAGTCAGCTCATATAAGCCTGAAAGCAGAACAGGCATTAGAGGTGTCCTGTTCTGATAACAGGACATATTTTGAAATAAGTAAAATCAGTCTTAGAGCAATTCTAGAAATGATTTAGATTTAGTTGTTTGTTTTTATTAATTTAATTGAAATATTACATAATTGTATTGCATTTATTTTCAAAATAATATGATTGCTTTCATAGTGTTTTTGCATATACAGTTTAAAACTATTCAGACCCATGCTATTTTGTGAAATTAAAGAATGATGCATACACAGTTCTTTAAACTAAGTATTTTATTTAAAATTGAATACTCAAACTGAAGACATCTAAGAGTATTTAATTGCAGTAAATGGAAGCAAAAATGTAAAACGAAACAACTTTAATATGTTGACTGTATAAATATTTTAGCACCGCAAATCAACATTAGCTGGCATCTCTGGGCATAATTACAGCTCCAAATGTTTTGAGGTATATTTCTTTCAGCTTCACATACCAGGTTGGTGTTTTCTCCATTTCTTCTTGGTTATCATCTCCCTTCTGATGAGAAACAACTGCATAACACGATGCTGTCTCCACGATGCTTTACAGTAGTAATGGTATTGGCTAGGTGATGTGATACAGTATGTTGAGTTTGCACCACTTTCCATTTAGAACAAAAAGTTTCAAAATCACCTTGTCCTACCACAAAACCATATGATTACAGTATCACCTACAGTACGTAGATACTTTGTTGTAAACCCCATGCAGAATTTTAGATATTTTTTTCCAGTTACATACATGTCTCTTCTCTTTTATACAATGAACAAGATATTGTTGATTCATGTACATTTCTCTCATTTCAGCCATTGAGCCTGTCCAAAGTTGCAATCAGCCTCACAGTGGCAAGTGGCATCCCTAACCATTTTCCTCAATTTCCTACAGCTCTATTTGATATTCAGAGTCCTTGTAATTATTTACACATCTTCTGATCTGTGGCTTTCCACCAACATATCATTTTGTTATTCTGAAATCTCCATGATTTTACATGGAGCGTGTTCAGTGTGTAGGTGGAGTCCTTGTTTAAGGGTCCCGCATTGCTTTGACAACCACAGCTGGGGTGGTTGATTTTGGATGAGCCACAGTTGTGGGAGCAGTTTAAGAACACACTGAACACTTCCCCAGAGGGACCAGCAAGCAGGACTTTAGTCCTGAGTTAGTTGCAGCAAAGAGAGGACGTCTAAGATTAGCTGTCCTATATGCAAGGCTCAATATGAGAAAGAGCCGAGTAGAAGCAGATGTAAGACGCTGCTGGTATGACTATACCTAATAGACCTAATAGTGTGTCTACCTGGAGAGAGAGGAATAAGACAGATTCAGGGCTACAACTGACACCCGTGTAAGGGGAGAATTTAGAATTAGTGCAATAGTCTCAGAGGGGATTGTGGATAGAAAGCGTAAGGCTGTCTTTTTATAAGTTTCACTTTCTGTCTGTACTTTTAGTCCAGTCTGGATCCCACTGTTCAAAGTGGTGTTTTTGTTTCCCACTGTGCAATGTAGCTTTTTTTGTTTTCTTCTCTTTTTTTAGTCTAGTTTGGACCCCGTTGTCATACATGACTCTTTCCCTAGTCCAGACTGAACCCCGCTGTCAAAAGCAGCTTTTCCTTTTCTTTTTTTTAAACCTTCCAACCTGACCTCACCCCAGTGCCTATGCCCCCTCAAACGGGGCATCAACTTTTACCAGTGTTCACCACGGCTCCTTCAAACCCACACTGTTACAATGGTTTAATCTTTGCTTGAAGTTCAGTAACTGATGAAGACTCCTTATAGAGGCAGTCATATATGTTCTGAAATAATTCGAAACACTGCTGTACACAATCAGAATCCATTCAATGATTTGTGTGACATGTTAAATACTTCTGTGTAACTAAACATATTTAGGTTTGTCATAGAGGGTAAATACCTATTAAATTAACATGACTGAATCCTTTTGAATTCTTTTCCGTTTTTTCATGTCATTTAATTTTTTCACCCATAAAAGTGTTCCATTTTTTATTTTAATTAAAAATGTCAACTTATTCAGGGGTGCAGGTAATCACAGGTGAGCAGACTGTTCGTCTGATTATGCATGTGTGGTAACCAGCATTAACCAGAGAGTGTAGATGTGGTCAGTTGCCATGGTAACATCAGCGTGCCCCACAGAATAGGGCAGACATAAAAAGAAATTTACAAAAGTAAATACTCTTGTATGAATAAGTCGGTGAACTCTTATATTATGTATCTGGTGACATATCTTTGTAGAGCAATGACCAACTCTTCAATTTTAGGAATATTGGCCTGTTCTGCTAACAGACATGACATTTGAGGTTTTCCTTGTGTGAACAGTTCACTTCATGTGCTTCCATAACATTTCATTAGGGTTAACAAACACCATTGCAATTTACTTCAAACATTGAATTGACAAATATAAATCTTCTTTGTTAAAAATAAAAGTGTTTTCAATTAAACAGGGACATTGTGGTACGTTATTGTAAATGCCATAATTATTTTGACAGTTCAGAAAAAAAATCTCAGCACTATATGTGAGACATAATAGGTACTGTATCAACCAGGTGACTCTTTTTTAGTTGCCTGAAACATGAACACACTGCACACCACACCATACAGCTTTTCCAGTGCAAGAAGGACGAACTAAGCTTCTACACTTGAGCTACTATTTAATTAACATATGTATTATGAAAAAAATAATATTTGTAGCTACTCCCTGATGATGTATGGGCTGTGCCTCCTTGGAATTTCAACTTGGTATAAGTTTTGATTCTTCTGCAGTGAACAGTTTTCTTTAGATTTAAGTCATTTCTGTGACAGGAGAGAAGGAGAAAATAATAGTTATTATTTGTCAGTGAAATCCAAGTGTTATCTACTGTAGGTAGCCTGGACAAATGTTTCCTTTTTCATCCAACATACAGTATGCTAATGGTATTGTTGTCCAAACCTGATAGCAGCCCTTTGTTATCCTTCTTTCACTAGAAAAGATACACAACTGGTGCTGTCGTGCACATACAATAGAGGCTCAGCTACATCATACTGTAGTTTAAAAAAAAATAAAAAACAATGTAGATATCATGGTTTTCCCTATTGACTTTTCAGTACTTTGTCATCAGTAGAGAAAATAGATGTTTTAAGAGCATTTTGTTTAATTGCTGTTTTTTACTGTATGGATTGTTGTACTAGACCCAAAAGTTCCATCCCATCTTCAATCTTGCTAAATGTTTTTTTATCTGAATTTGAAACTGCTGGATAAAGAAATGCATATTATCACTTTTAATATCCTGTTGTTTTACTTGCCTTTAAGTTTTGTCTCCTAATAAAACACAGTCCAATTGTCAGTTTTCTTGTATTTTGTTTTCTAGGATTACACTCTTACCATGTACTTTCAGCAGTCCTGGCGAGACAAAAGGTTGTCATACACTGGAATACCTCTCAACCTCACCCTTGATAACAGAGTAGCTGATCAACTCTGGGTACCAGATACCTACTTTCTCAATGATAAGAAATCATTTGTGCATGGCGTCACAGTCAAGAACCGAATGATCAGACTGCATCCAGACGGAACTGTGCTCTATGGCCTCAGGTTTGTGCTTCAAAGTTAACTCTTCAATAGGCATTTTAAAAATTTTAATCATACATTTAATGGAAAAATTACCTTTCTTTCTCAGTTTTTGAGTAAAGGGCTTAGATGGTGATGTCAATGTATTTTTTGCTGACAAACTATTAAGAGATAATTTTATTAATAAAAAATCTCTCAGAAAAACATTATACTTTCTACAATGATAGACTGCATGTTTCAATTTTGAAAAAATCTAATTAATATCTACCCATGAAATGCATCCTTAATGTGTTGTTTCACAGATAAACCACTTCTCCATGTAACAGAGGGCTTCATTAATCAAAGAAGCCTATATGTGTACACCTGTTAATAAAGACTTGGTCTGATTTTTCCTGTGGACAAATTGCTATGTTAAGTTTATCCATGTTATATGGAATGGAGTATTATTCAAAATTACTACTCAAGAGCAGTGTGTCAGCTCAAATTCTTGGCAGCAATATGCTTGTGTTTTGTGCTAACTGGAAATTTTAAATCATGAATTGTCAGCTAATCTATACTGATGCAGGAACAAATTACCCTTATTATCACTTTCAGAATGCAGTATTATGACAGACTTATGTTTTTGTTGTACTCTAAAAGTAATTAAATGTAAAAGATCTGAATGTTTCAGTGTACCATTTTGAAAGCTCATTCTACTTTCTTTTCATTATTGGTTGTTGTTCTTAATTTCAGGAGGATTTAGTGCATGAATTTTTAACATACTTGCTCTATTATGAAGACATTCCAAGAATTTTAAATTGTGTAATTTCTTATAAAATGACACCTGTATATACTGAACAGTACATCAATTACATGTTTAATAATGAAACCTGATTTGTGAAGTGAGGAAGCAGCTGTTTCTGGTTGAGTCAGAATTACTTTACAGTTACTTTCTTTTACCAAAGATATCAGGCTCTAAGAATGAAAAATTAAATAATTTATACTAAAAATTCCAAGAACATACTATGGGCAGAATAATCGTAACATTATTTCTGTGTTAGGCACATCTGTGACTTAAGTTTAAATTGGTGTTCACAACCGAGTTCGGATATGTTTAAGTCTGAACTACTGTAGAGCTGGTATTACAGTACATATGTTTATGTAACATACGGTTGCATTATATAGACCTTGTCAGATGGAAACTCTTTCTAATGTCATACGTATTTTTTAAAAGCTGGCCCATTAGGTTGTCATGTCTTTTGCTATAGTGTGTGGTTTCTAGTATAACAAGTCACTCTGTCAAAAAATGAAATTTTCATAATAAGACAATAAATTCATTGGAAAAGTATGATAACAATGATAAAAATCGGGTATTTTAAAAAAATGCTCCATGGATTTTTTTAAATCAATTCCAACTGAACATACAGATGCAGCCATTCAAAATGCGCGGGCAATACCGCATTATTTTCCGGTGCGCTGTACGCAGTCTACTGTGAGTTACCGGTAAATACCGCTAGTTACCGTAAATTCTCCTATAATACGGCAAGCAAAATAATAGTATCCGGAATTTCCGCAAGGTGGAGCTAATAAAGTTCAACCTCTCATGTTTGAGCTGT